TCCAAAAATTCATCCAATCGTTATAATCTCCGGAAAATTTGTGAATTAACAGTTTGGGCAATTTCACATTGCCTTCAATCTGTCTTTTGGTTTCAACTTCTGTAGATGAATTATTTAAATTCGTGTTGATATTTTGAGTATTGTATTTCCTTAAATAACGGTTGATTTTAGACTTCGCTATTATTATTTTATCGTTATATTCCATAGAAGTGTTAATATCTGAATCTAATTTTGATTCATCTTCAATCAAATTTTGTATTTTTTCATTTAAATCATGTAGTTCCGTTTCTTTACTATTTAACAATTCCAAACAATTTTCTAACTCTTCTTGATTTTCTTCTTTTAAATACTCATCTACATTTTTAATAATTTGAGTTACAGAAGCACGTATATGTGCTCGATTCTTAATTAGTGTCTTCTGTTCCATTTTAATAAATTATCAAAGGAGACTTACCGTGAGAAGTCTTCGCTTACAAAGCTAATCCAAAAGGCGAAAAAAACACAAATTTTCAAATTAATCAGATTTTTTTCTGGGGCCGATGCACCATTATGTAACGAAAGTTCTAGATCAAAGTCGAATCACTCATAATCCAAAAGACGAGATGCATGGCCTGGAGGGTTTTCCATAAATTTTAATTAAACTTAATATTTACATATATACAATGTAGGCTAAAATGCCTGAATCGAATATTTAATGCTCAAAAGGTAAGAACTGAATAGTTCCAGCTAAAATCTCAATCGAATTCTATTGCGTAGTGCATCGAAATTCTACCTTCAAGAAGACGAATATTTTTTCAAGTCACGTGTTCAGAAGGGGAAAGGTCAAGTAAGCCAATAGATGGACTCCTAACGCCATCTCTTGGCGATATCAAAGAATATTCCTTAACATGAGTAAGCACAATTTCAAGATGTTATATATTTGATACCTGTATACAGAATTTATAATTTTGGCTATAGAAACAATGTGCATTTTGAAAGATTCATATTTTTGGCTAGGCATAATTAACAATAATTTCTAAAATAGATTAGTAATCGAAAACAGACCTGGGACAATGGAATATATTGTTTTCCATTGACTAACAATACCCCCAAAATGTCTAGTACTTATGTAATTAGATTTACAGTATAAGAAACGTGAAACATGTCTTCGATCGGGATTCAAACTCCATATTTTTCGATGTTAGCCAGACGTGCTTCCAATTAAACTCCGTATGGAAGGAAAGACAGCAATCTTGTTTGTGATTTTAAAAAATGAACAGTGTTTGATTTAACTTTGGTAATTTGTTTTATCAGAAATAAGAAGAACTGGACATAATTTTGTGCACAAATTTACACTAAAACGCTTATAGTGATAAGAAAAAGAAAGAAAAAAAAAAATCTTTCAGACCCGCAACTAGTTTGTGAAAAATTAAGTTCTAATTTGGATATCTTTTCAAATTAGCTAAATTAAAATTAAATTAATATTTGAAAAGAAAAAGGTAGATTTTACGCCACATTTTGCTCAGTGAGGAAGGTATAAGGACTGGAAAGCTGCTTTTGCACATGTGTAAGAAATGGTTGCATTTTCCCATGCTTGCTTTTGTGGTGTAAGTGATAGACCATCCAGATAACACTGGAAGATCCATGCTTATAAATCAATCCTGGCAAAAATACAGGTTTTTCATGTTTTTTTTCCTCGAAAAAACTAAATGTCTTTACATGGTGGCTGAACTAAAATGTGGACGATAATTCATCGTTTTCTGGTTTAAGTGGATTTGGTTTCGTACCCGTGCCACTTAAAGGACTCCAGTAGCCCTTTAAGTAGAAGAAAATATAAGGTTTGGTTTATTTGATTTTGGCAAAGCACTCGAGGGCTATCTGCCTAAGGGAAGTGATGCCTTCGTGGATGACTTTCTAGGGAAAACTTGCTAGTGTACGTTACAAATACTAGCAACTTGCTTGCATACGTTACAAATGGGGAAAACCACAAAAACGTCTATGCAGCTATCCCGTTCGCCGGATTTGAACGCCAGACCGAGCTACCAATCTTCCGCTCAGCTGTTGGTAGGCGAGAAATGTAAGAAATTATCGCATTCATCAGTGCGTGCTCTCATGGTGTGAGAGATAGTACGCCTGATTACCAATGGACGATCTGTTATTCGAATCTTGGCAAGGACATAGTTGATTTTTTATGTTTCCAGCTTTAGGAAAAAAAAAAGTTACTTTAATTCGTTTGAAAATTATTAAAAAAATCATAAAATAAAATTTAAAAAAAATCCAAATGAGGGAGTTTACTGCCCTTATGTTTGATACTGTACTTGATATTTAAGTATATTAATTAACATGATGTCAGAAATAATTGCTAGGAAATAGTAAATAAATTAAAGGAATCCAAATACTTTCTGTTATACTACATCGCATACCAAATTGTGATCAACATAAAATTATGTGTGATGGCTGAAACCTTTTCACATTTCATCGAGATTTTTAATTAACTTTATATGCTTCAGTTTTCACCATTCCCTGTCCCTGAACTATCAGTTTACCTCATTAATCGTTTGTAAATAAAATTCCTAAGTAATATTCCCCCATTGATTGTTTAGGATAAAAATGTGAAGCCAAGTTTGTGTATTTACTACACGCGTCATCTTTTCTTTTGTAAATATTTGGCAGCGCAGTGAAACTTCTCACGTGATCTGCCTCAACTCAACCTTCTACGTTTCATCGAAGTAACTTCCAAATGTCATTTCATTGCAAGTGGCAATAATTTTTTTTAAACCTTTAAAGTGTTGCGCGAAAACATTTTGCTATCTGGAAAAGCGGTACTTTCAGCTGGGGCGAAATTTAGCCAAGAATGGAGGGGTGATAGAGAATTTTTTACACGTAATTATTTTAATGTAGCATATTATACTGAAAGTAATAAATGCTATTTGTTTGTAATTTGTCACTCATTTACAGTGTGTAACAGTTTCTCATTTTAAGTCTAATAGTTTGTGTTCATCATTTATCCCTTCTTATCTTATTAAAATGAATCGAGACTTCACTGTGTATGTGGATTTTATATTACTCGCTCATCACATTTTTTAAATGATGTAAGTAAATATAAGATAGCAATAGTTTTATTTATTTATTTATTTATTTTTTTTTTTTTGGTGTGTATGATAACTGCACTATTTTTTACTTTCGATAGATGGAATGTTTTGGAAAACTTTATCTTACTTTCAACCTTGCAGTGCTGACAAGAAGAGCCATGTGGAGGAAAATGACAAGTTGTTTATGTCCTACTGACATCCTCGCACAGAAGGGTTCGCTTAAACAGATCTCGAAATCACACTAATTGAATTCTACAGTATCAGTAAAGCACACTGCTATTTGAGGATGAGCCATAGACAAACTCCTGATGGTTATTGATTGGAGAACGCTTGGAACTCGTAATCAGGACAATAATATTTGCGAAATTGATGCATACAGAGGCGGTGACTTGGTTGGCAGATCGGATATTGTTGATGGCAGGTGAACTAATCACCACATCTTCGTTCTTGGTACAGTGACTGCATTGCAGTGTAAAGATCACATTCTTGCTTAATATGCTCACCCCTTTCTTGCAGCTGTGCATAATGATATCATTTTTTGGCCCGAGTTCATAAGGCTCACTTGTTGGCTATATATTGTTGTTGGCAGGCCCACTAATCACCACATCTTTGTTCTTGGTACTGTGACTGCACTGCAGTTTAGAGATCACATCCTTGCTTAATATGTTCACCCCTTTCTTGCGGTTATGCATCTTGATACCATTTATTGGCTCGAGCTCAGAAGGCTGAGTTGTTGGCTAGTACTTAGAATCGGAACTACTGCTTCACATAGAATGTACTACATTAAAATTAAATTAACTTAAATCTCCATTGAACATGTATGGAATATGCTTGGAAGATGCTAAATGTCTTTCCATGGCTCTACCCAGAACCTTTAAAAGCTAAGAATATGTCTATTCCCTGAATGGGCATACGTACTCCCAAATACAGTGAATAGTCTTATTCCTTATAAGAACTGGCGCATTTGTTTCCACTGCCTCATCACACTGCATTGACACACTGCATGCCTCATCACACTGCATTTGTGATGACCTCATCACACTACATATTGCAGACATTTAACAAAGAACTTATTGGCCACAAAAGTATTATGTTTTTAATTAGAACAATTATTTAATTTTTTATTGCCCATTTTCTTTGCACTTCCCCACATTAATGTCTTATCTCCTAATCATTTCTGAAAGTTTCAATGAATTTGAATAATAAAATTTTTAATTTTATCCGATTTCTTCAGTTTGCTGTTTAATTTTTTAAGCATATTTTCACTTTCTTTGTTTGTATTTCTTCCGGTTAAGGAAAAAAAAATCCTTATAGAGGTCTTTTGCAAAAGCGAAATGGTATAAAGAGAAATTTCGCAAAGCGGGAAATGCTTGCGTTTCATAAAAGCTTCCGCCATTGCCGGATCTAATGCTAAGACAAATGCTGTTATAAAACTTGTAGGTTGTAAATTGTGTTTCAAGGCATCTTCGTAAAAAATTGCAATTGCCGGATTTCAAGCGAAGAGAAGTAATGTCACGTAAGCAACATAAAGAAAGAGTTTGTTAAATTACATGGTGCAAATGGGAAACTTGTTGCCCAGGGCTTATATAAGCCTAACTTTTACCACCCTAACTCTTACCAGAGTAGAAAACAATAGGTTGTAAATATAAAAAATAAAACATGCACGCAGATTGAAGAGAGACCAATGGTTCAGTAATGAATCTATAAATTTTCTTACATCTTTCAGCACTCAAAGAAAGAATCTTAAATTTATACCATTATGCTAGGATTCGGTGTTTGTGACTTCACTCGTCAAAAGGCACGGAAAAGAGATAAATTTTTTTTATTTATTATTTGTTCGGAGTTTTCTCATCACAATTGTTCTCCGCTTGAATACCGTCAATTTTTAAAAAAAAAAAAAAAAATGACGCAGTTGGTATTCAAGGGTATAAAATGGCGGAATTTATCTCGAATTAGTTGCAAAGAAATCAAAAGTAAAGAAAGGAAAGGGGAAGGAATTGTCTCCGAAAAAAAAACTCTTAGAGTAAAATTTTGTACTAAAAGTTTTTAAAAATTTGCTTATTACGTAAGTAGCTTTCGTTCATTCTTATTTTTTCATTGTATCAATACTTAAAACTCTAATTTTGAATTTTTCTATCTGTTACTTAAATATTTTGACTTAATTTTTAAGTAATAAACGTATATAGTGATGAAAGACTTATTTTTAAATATGGTGAGAAAATTTAAGTGAATAGCATTAGTTTGCCAAACGTCAGGTTAAGTAGCATTAATTTAAAATTTAGAGAGGATTTATTCTTTCAAACATGTATTGAATTTACGTTTTCGATGATTTAAGTTTTTATTTCTTTGCAATATAAGGGAAAAAATTCCGAAAACAACTTATGAAGTTTGTGAATTTGTGACTGACATGCTGAATTCAAACCAATGAATCTCCTTCCCCGTATTTATTTGAATTAAATCTTCATTGGTAAAACGGCTTACTAAAACTTTCCGAAATTATGTAATATGAAATCGAAGTTATTTCCTGTCTACCTAATTTTAAACGGTTGCAATTCCGAACTTTTTATGGTCTATGACTGTTATAATCTTTATAAAATTTAGATAACTGAATTAATATGTTATTATCAATGTAGATAATCTCGAGACAGGGCTAGATAAGCTATTTTCGTGCCCGGCTAACGGTGTCAAGAAAGCTAATTATTAAAATAATTATTAATTAAAGTCTGAAAGCATTCAGATTTTATATTATACCCAGAGGGGCATTCTTAACGTTTTGTGTGTTACATTTATTTATTGAATATCATATTCTTCGCCATTAAGTCATTAAATTCAATTCAGCAGCAGTATCACAAAAGATTTAAAAAGAGCGTATCTGTAGAATTTCCAATACACAGTCTCACGCGTTAGACACAATTCCCCCCCCCCGGTACAGTGTTGCCATTGCTTGCTTTGAAATCGTTGAGTTTGCCGTTAAAGTTTTACAAAGTATGGAATAAATAATAAACCAAATTCAAAATTCGGGCTACCATATGCGCATATTCGAGTGAAGGACTACGTTAGTTCAAAATTGGATGGCTCTAGGTACCGTTGTTTTTTCACAATGTTAGAAACATATATACATTGAGGCAGATTCTTTATTATTTAATTTCTTTAAATATAATGCAGGGCTCTAATATTTGGTTTGGCAACAATTTGAAAAGTGAAAGGCCGTTTTATAGTGGACGACGCAAAATCCCAAAACAAAATTAATAGCTTTTCTGGCTTATGCGCATATGGTAGCCCGAATTTTGAATTTGTTTTATTATTTATTCCATATTTTGTAAAACTTTAACGGCAAACTCAACGATTTCAAAGCGAGCAATGGCAACACTGTACGGGGAGGGGGAATTGTGTCCAACGCGTGAGACTGTGTATTGAAAATTCTACAGATACGCTCTTTTTAAATCTTTTGTGATACTGCTGCTGAATTGAATTTAATGACTTAAGGGCGAAGAATATGATATTCAAGCTAATAATCGAGCTAATAATTATTATTAAAAATTATTTAATTATCAAATTATTTTAAATAATTTTAAAATAATTAGCTTTATCTCATTATTAAAATAATTACTTTAATAATATTATTATTAAATTATTTATTTATTAAAATAAATATTTTAAGAATCAATATTAATTTTAAAATTATCATTATTAAAATAACTATTTTTTATATTTTAATAACATATATTTTCAGTTTAATTAATACAATATTACTCGCATACAACGTGAGAGAAATACTTCTAGATTCAGAGCTTAATCATACAAAATATTAAAAGGCTGGGGAATGCAAGAGAGAACTTTTGGAACACCAGGTCATCATCCTTTTGATATTGCAAAACGCATGATCCATTTCTGCTGAGCCAAATTTTAATTTTGCTTTCTTTTAACTAGCTAATGATAACATTTATTGATTTGTAGGCAAACTATATGGTTTAAGATAATCAGCTTACAATTACTGCGCCACACTGTAGCAAACACAATGTATCTAATTCAAATAAATCTGTTTTAAAAGTTTTTCCTAAAGTTATAATCCTATCTGTTTTTATTTCCCACCAGTCTGTATACGTAGGTAAGGGGGTAATGTTTTTGGCCATAAATTCGATAGTGATTTTTCAGGAAATGAGCACGAATTAGTGTCCCCCACAACATGTTTTTATTATTTTTACCGTGATATCCGTGTGCCTGCATGCATATACGTGTGTGACGATTTTGTCATCCACGATAACTCTTATATGAAAATTTCCCAAATTTCTATTTCTATTCAAGAAAGTTTACTAAATTTATATAAAGGGTTGACTAGATTTTTGGGCAGAGACTGATTTTAGATTGAGAAATTTAGAAGGGGTATTTTACATGAAGTCCGTAACAGGCTTTAATGGACAACCTATCGTGATACTCTACTTGAAGGCCATGACAGTTTTTTATGACAAACTATATTTAAATACCATTCAAAACTTTTCTATTTTAGCATTTTAAGACTTTTCTATCAAAGGAAAGAATATATTAGATTTTGGCTAAAATTTATAAGCCGAAAATGATGCTTCGGCCAGCGGACAGCCAGCCAGAAGGCAGGCTTTTTAGTGCATAAAACTGCAAGTTTACTTTTGGTCTCACTCGGTGAAAAGACGTTGAAGGCGTAGAAACTGACTTAATTTATTGTGGATGCTATGAAGAGTCAATATATGGCATAATTTAATACTTGAATGATAATTCCAGAATGTATTAAGCATGATTTAATTCGCAATAACAAAAGAAGACGTTACCTTTGCTGATGCGAAGCTTAGTTTCTTCAGATTGGCAGCAAATACACTATTCTGCTAAGTTTCAAATGTAAACAAATACGGCTATTATGGTCAAAAAATTAGGCTTAGCCGTAATTAAACAATTTTTAAATTATTGATAATTCTATAACTATTGCGTGGAATTTAACTCAAGGCATAAAATCCTTAACCAGAAGATAAGAACAACACAATTCAATTATTTTTAAAGCAAAAATGCACAGTTTACTAACATATAAGAATAATAATCTGAGCTCAATCAGCCGAGTAACAGAGTGGGTATATAATCTTAGGAGATAACATAATATTTCTTTAGTAAATAAATTATTATTAACTTACTTTGCAGCAATTGCGCAAGTAGTAGAATAACTCGATTTCGCACTAAGTGAAATTAAGATCATAAAACATAAAGTATATATATATATATACTTTTGGTGCGGCCGATTGCCACCCAAAATGGAGATGCACAGCTACATGGTATAGCAGTCCTATAGACAAAATTTCATTACTCAAAAAGGAGTAGCCTCAGAACACTGAGGCTACTCCTTTTTGAGCTATGCGAGATATATACTTACATATGTACGTATGTACAGACGCCACGAAAATAATCTCTTTTGAATTCATGTTAAATTAGTTTCATAATTCGCTTTGAGAAAAAGAGTCCTTAGAATCCTGTTCTTACGTACAGATGTTACGCAAAAACATCGCTAAATTACATTCGATAGCGGTTAAAGTAGATATTTCCGTTGACATATGGTACCCGAAAACTTATGTCACTGATTTGTGAATTCGAAGCACTCTGTGATCAGAGGATATACTACTATCGATGCAATGTTTTCAAATCAAAATATGAGAACAGATGCTTTACATAATCATATATAATTATCGTTGAGCATTATGTTCGAGAATAGAAAAATAAAATATGAGTAGCGTTTATAATTAAACTGAATCTTAAAATTTATAAAGAATTTAGATTTTATTTACAAACAATTAACCGGAAATGATAAAGCTCTTTGCTGTTTCGCAGAATTGACGAAGGGTCATGCACTAACCACATCAGAGTTTTACTGTGTAATCGTGAAGAATTTCGGGTATCGTACTCTAAGGAAATATCCATTCTCGAATCCATTTCGACTAACGTTTTACGTGACGTTTTTAGGTATGTATCTCGCATAACTCAAATACCATTAGAAAGTTGAGACGGTGAAATTTTGTATATGGGATTCTTGTAACATCTAGTGGGTTGTTCGGAAAGTTAATTTCGATTTTTCCCACAAAAGGGCTTAATTGTATTTTTTCACTGTCGATCGATTTCACACTTAAGCCGCAAAACCATTATATATTTTGACAGCTTGTAGGAACATTAGGTTATTTTTTGAAAGCAGGGAAAATGAAAAATGAGCAACGCCCTCGCCGGGAATTGAACCACAGACCTCTGGAATACGCGTCCAGCGTGCAGACCACTACATTACGAAGGCATGCTAAGAAGGCGGGAGAAATACCTTATAGACTCCACCTTTTAAAGGGCGACTGGGGCTTTTAGGAGACCCAATCGCCAAATCCTGAGTGTAGAGAATCATCATCCACCACCCTTTTAGTTCGGACGCCACTGTAGAGATATCAGGTTATTTTTTGAAAGCAGAGAAGATGAAAATGAGCAACTCCCTCCCCGTTAATCGAACCCCGGACCTCTGGAAGACGCGTACAGCGTGCAGACCTAAAAACATCACGTAAAAAAATTAGTCGAAATGGATTCCAGAATGGATATTTCCTTAGAGAACGATACCCGAAATTCTTCGCGATTAGAAAGTAAAAATCTGATGTGGTTAGTACATGACCCTTCGTCAATTTTGCGAAACAGCAAAGAGCTTTATCACTTCCGGTTGATTGTTTGTAAATAAAATCTAATTTCTTTTTAAATTTTAAGATTCAGTTTAAGTATAAACGGTACTCATTTTTTGTTTTTCTATTCTCGAAGACATGCTAAGAAGGCGGGAGAAATATCTTATAAGCTGATATAACTTGTTTGTAAAAAAGTTCGATTTATTCTACGCGGTAAAGGGAGGGATTAATTGTAGGGATTATTAGGTCTACAAAGCAACGAAGTGTGGAAAATCAGCTTTGCTCTCGGTATTTGAGTCACTTAGTTTCCACAGATGGATGTGCTAACCACAGCAACTGGAAGATAAGTGGATGTTGTTGAAAGGATAAATGGGTATAGTTGGATGTACTAACCACTTATCCCACG